TAATTATTATTTAGATTAAAACGATAAATAGAAATGCTTATAGTTTAAAGAAGTATTTCATTATTATTTTGGATTATCATAATTTCATAATTCATATCTTAACGAATATACCTTGTTTAAAGAGTAACTAAATGTTTTACATTTCCTTATAAAAAATATAAAGTAAAGAACAACACATTTTATAATAAATAACTTTTATTGCATCGGTAACAACACTACAGTTTATTATTACTACGTAAAAAGGATACTGTATACATGTAATGTATATTTATACATATAATATATCTATACCGATAAAATTTTTTATTATGCAACCAATTTGTCATACATTTATCGAAATGGGATGCATATGCGCGTTCGTCTTCATTTAAAATTACGTAAGATAATTGCATTACGTATAAACACACGTATCTATATAAATAAATGATAATGTGCTCAATTAATTTAACTTCTGCCAGTAATGCATGTACATATATATAGCTCCTAGAAACTAAGATTGTATTTAAACAGTCGCAAGTACAAACAAATAGAAGGTTTTTTTTTATTACTACTTAAATGAAATCAATTTGCAGTTAATTACCGGTTCGGGTGCTCAAGACCATTCAGATGCAGGAGCAGGTGGTGTTGCCGAAATTGACGTGTCACCACGAGCGGAGCACACCGAAGGAATCCCCGGACCTATTACGCGACTTTTAGTCGTTGCCAACAGGGGTATTGCCAACCTCATTCAAGACCTCATTTTGGTAAGTGCACTTTCTTATTATTACGTTTATACGCGCAGCTGTTAATCGACACAAAAAATACAGGTTTGGTTCTTTTTGAACCATTAAAAGCTCTCAAATTTCCTTTCAATTCGAGTATACTTACACTTTATGCGGACTTGTTTCGTGACCTTGATAACAGATTTCCACCAACATAACAGAAAGTAACCGACAAAATTTTAACGATATTGAGTAAAGTACATACCACTTACGCAATAACTGAATTGATATTATGTTGGTGCGTTACAGTAAGCCTTTTTTTTTATAAATCCGTTATTCAGTTGTCTGCATACGTACATGTTATGAAACAATAAATATTTCCCAACAGCTTGACTCTGATTGAAAAGACAGAAAATAAGATTTTTTTGTCGTAATTATATGAATGTGTAGGTACGCCTAATTAATAAACTTAATTGCTTTCATTATTATCACGGACAATAATGACTCTAAATGCTTGTAAGCATTTGTAAACCACCTGCTATCAAGTAATTGCCTATAAAGTTCGCAATTGAACACGTTGCTTATTACCACGTATTTATTTATTTATAAATAAGTAAGAATATTAATAAATGAAAGTAATATATTATATACACACAAATGAAAACGAAAGTAAATTGTATGCAAGATTTCTAATAGGGTACCGTTTCTATGATTATAAATAAATTGTGATTATTATTATTATTATTTCAAGTAACTTTTCTCAGTAATAGGCGCGTATTCTTAAAAAAACACGTAAACAATTTTTTTTAAGTTTTCACAATCTCAATAGATCTATTTTTACCATTTTAAAATATTAATTGAGACTAAACACAAAGAGAAAACAAAATTTGTCCAAGTAGTTTATGTAGCAAGGATAGTTTTATTATTAGTGCTTGATTTATAAAAACTTCAATAATTTGAATATGATATACAATCTTTACTTAACTTATAGAATCATCTTTCCTAAATCAAATTTTACATACCATTTTATTTTTATTAAAAGTTTAGGTGATTATTTGACCATTATACCTCTATTTCATTCAAATCTATGCTCTACACTAGCCTAATTTGTAACTAGTATTTGTAAGTGTATGTTCTAAATACGCATAATAATTAAATATTTAAATGTTTTAGGCCGTCCATCGCAAAAAAGTTGAACTAGTAAACGACATAAAACAAAAAATTAAAAGCTTTACAGTTAGACTGTCAAACATATGAATTTACTGACGAAGACGACTTCGACTTCATTTATATTGTTTGTTTGGATGCAAATTGTTATTTTTTATATACCTATTAATGAAATGTTAATTGCTTAGGTTATAATTTTAATTAGAATCTTATAACAAATTCTATTCTCACTAAATTTTCCACTAAACACTTCGGTGTCAATCTTCTACATTCTTACGAATAATTTTAAAGCTTTTACTAAAACAACCTAAACGTCGAATTTCTAAACAAAAAACAATTCGTTTATTATAGTAGTAGTTAATTGTAATATTCTTTCTACTAATGTTTTTCTCGTAGTTAATTTAACTTAAAACCGAGTTGCACTGGAAACTGGAAATTAATAAATAAAAAAATAAAAATAGAAATGACTGACTGACCATCTCAATGACTAGTCTGACGATTTATGTTACTTGTTATGATGGTTTTTATTTTGACTTATAATAAATTATTGTTTATTCTCTTACAGCGCTTGGCCCAAACGAGTGAAAGAATAGTTAACTTCAAAGCAAGACTCATCACGGCCCTTATCTAAAAATTTCAACCTAATAGAATTCATCTGCCAAATTTCAGCATTGCTTCGTCAACATACATACATTACATACCTAGAATATCCTTAGCTGGTTTTAGACATCAAAAATAGGATAATGTATCGTCTCAAAATTGTTTTTGAACTAATGTAGGTACGACGCGACGCGCCAAGAGAGTGTGTCACTATAATATTTTTTTTTAAGTAAAAGCTAATGGATACATTCATATTTGGACTACGTATTTTTTGAGACATCTAAATTCAGAATAAAATCCCTGTGCTCCTAGTGTATTAAATTATTTAACTTTTTGTTACTATTTTCTTGCTTTTTTTTGTGATTAATAAACATATTAAAATTTACTAACTCTTCTCTTAATTAATAATACTTGTCCTATGTAGTCTAGTTCATTTTTGCCTCTTTGTAGTGATCTTTTTCTTTACGAACTCTGCGATGCTTCTTTCTTTATAGTAAGTAGAAGTTACCTCAAACAATGTTTCCTTTTACTTTTCTTCTTACTTTTTTTATTGCTGCTTTTGTAAGTAATGTGTGATAGATACTGCCGTTTTCACACAGTTGTTTTTTTTTGTATTGTAGTTAATTTTTTTTTGTAAACTTTTAGTAAGTATCTACAACATTCTTGTTATGATCAACTCATGACAATTTGCTCAAAACAACTATTTAAAGATGTACATATTATGATGATTTGGTATAGAAACGACGAAAATTATTTTTTNTTTTTTGTTTTGCTAATTAGTTTTTAATATATTAAAAACCATTGCCAAACAAGCATCTAGATAAATTAAGTTTCTGTGTTCGTTCGCCACCATTGTTGTTACTAATAGTTGTACAAACCAAATGTTAGTTCTTAAAGTGAAGTTAATTTTGAGTAAAAATAATATTGAGCACGTATTCCAAAGGAAAACGTAGGTGCCTACGTAATATTTGAATGTTATGGTGAACAAATTGACCTAAGAAGTCATGGTAAGAAAACTTTTATTTTTCAAGAGTTATCACCTATAATTAGCACAACGATAAAAAGAATGTACTCACTGCCTTTTCTATATTCTGTAATTTTTAGGTATTAACATAGTGCAAATGGTAGTTTAAAAAAATAGAACAGGCAAAAATATATAATCTGTTCCAACAAATACAATTTTTATTTCAGTTCATATTTCCACTTACAACTTATCGATTATTGTATTTGTTAACAGTTTTTGTAATTGATTTTAAATTGATTAATTTGTTTTCTAGTTGACTTTTTTTTTAAATAATAAACTGAACTGTGGATGATCGCTTTTCTAGTTTCTGGGCAAATGCGAAGTTTAGCTCAGGATAGGAAAGAGTGGAGGTACGTGTCCAACCAGTCTTAGGACTGACGACCTTATGATGATGAAACTGAACTGTATCTTAGCGCAAAAAAATACAAAACACATAAGATATGTAATAATTAATGCCAAGAAAGATTATTATTAAAATATTATCAATATTTTAGTGAAAACCGGGTTAAAATCAATTCAGAAATGCCGAAACAATCACTTCTTCAAATTATAACACCTACGTAACGCCTGGCGCTAAAGATTTCATTCAAAATAATAACAACCGCATACCAGATTACACCCACACCAAACAGGTGTTATTTGACCTAGTTTTTGCGGGGTTCTTTAATGGCCGCCAGAAGTAACAGCCAATCAGATGCACTGTAGTAGTTTATTACAATTGAATTGTATTTCTGAATTAGTCACCCTTGAGACTTGATGGGGTGTACATCTCTCCGTCAATTTTAAGCTTACTTATACGTAAACTATATAAAATTGTAACAGTAAAATGCAATTTTATGAGCTGACTAACAATAAATAGTCCTTTTTATTTGTTTTTTTAAAATATATTCTAAAACTATACAATTAAATGCAGATAGTATGTATAATTCAACAATATTACTCTCACAATTTTCGTACCTTTAATGCAAAAACTGTTTATAATTTAAAAGAACCACTTATTAAAAGGCAAATTAAAAAAAAAACTACTTTTTAATTTGTTTAGGATCTTTCTTCAAAAATGAAATCGAATAATGTCGAATACAACCGAAGTTGATATAGAGTTTAGTGAGTGCTGAAGGCGTTAAGTAATAATAAACTGTCAAGAGAAATTGTGTTTTGTATTATGATAAACTGAAGTTTCTGATAACGTTTGCATGTGAATAATTTACTTTTAAACGTTTTTAATATAAAGTTACAAGCTACCTATTAAATGTGATTGCATTGTATTTGTGTTTGCAATAACCAAAGGAAACGATTTGAAAGGTTAGTAACCTTCAGCATGATTCCATACATTTACGTTTATTTCTTTGTTATTGTTAATTTTTAGATGCCTATTTTATATAGTGTTATATCTAGAGGAAAAACGATTTTAGCAAAATATGCTACTTGTGCTGGTAACTTTGCTGAAGTAACAGAACAGATTATTTCAAAAATACCATCCCAAAATGACAAACTTACGTATTCTCATGGGAATTATTTATTCCATTACATTTGTGAAAACGGGGTCATTTATATGTGCATCACTGACGATGTAAGTATTCTTCTAAAACTGCTCCTATTGTCAATTTCATTGTAATCTATCGAGTTTAGTTCTTATTTATTTGTGTTTGATTCTAGGAGTTTGAGAGATCAAGAGCCTTTCTATTCCTTAATGAAATCAAACGTCGTTTCAATGCTGCAAATGAGTCATCAATTGAAAATGCTATGGCTTATGCCATGAATTCAGATTTTGCAAGAGTCTTAGCAAATGAAATAAAGCACTACTCAGAATCTGACGATATCGATACCATATCTAGAGTTCATGGAGAGCTGGATGAGCTCAAAGATATAATGGTTAAGAATATAGGTAAACCTTTTAATGATTCTAATGGTGTTGCCATTAAAAAAGTAATAAACCAATTCCTTTAATGCTTGACAGAAGTTATAGAGGAATGATGAAGAGACCAAGCAAAAATAATGATAATTAAATCAAATGCAATTATTCAATACAATTCAATATTCTTTCATTTTATGTTTCATTTATGTATTGTTCATAATGTTTCCTAAATATTAGTAATTAAAAAATAGAAAGCAGTTTTCTGGTTTTGTTGATAGATTTTTCTTACATAGAGTCTTTGATAATGACATTACATTTATCAGTGTATTAAATGTTGTTACAGATAACATTGCTATGCGTGGAGAACGTCTTGAATTACTTGTAAATAAAACCGAAAATTTAAGCAACAACGTAAGTTAATGTATAAGTCAGATTATATGTTTATTTTAATTTGTTTCATTGTTTCAGTCAGTCACTTTTCGAAAAACCAGTCGGAATTTGGCACGTGTAATGTTCTGGAAAAATGTTAAGATGTACTTTGTAATTGGAGGAGTTTTGATAGTAATCGTCTACATTATCACGGCAATATCATGCGGTGGTTTACTTTGGCAAAAATGCGTAGCTAAAAAATAAAACTTGGGATATTAATTGAATGCGAATAAGACTAATAAGCTGTACTTTTCCCGAAAAACTGAAATTCAAATAAGTGATATATCCTAATGGTTTTATGAATGAGAGTATTTCTAGTTTAAGTTGTATAAAAATGTATTTTAGTACCCACATATTTTAATATGTTAAATACCTCTACTATTAATTATTACAGGTCTTTTTTATTAATCGGTAATTATTGTTAATGCAATATATTGGCGTAATTAAGAGAATTTAATATATCATACCTGTGATCTAATTATTTTTTTGTATTAGATATTAAATTACATAGTCAATAAATACAAAAGTTTCAAACTCTTTTTCAAATTGATCTCCCTGAAAAATAAAACATTAACAAATTTTTCTAACTGCCTTATTTAATACGTGTTTATTCTCATACATGTGAGCCATTTGACTAGTCAAATGAATTGTGAGTAATTATTGATAAATTTGATTATCAAATTGTCAATAATGTAACTTTTAAGTGTAATATTACTTTTGAAAGAAGTAATAACTTTTGAAAGTTTGAATTAGAAATTTGCCGCCGAGTAAGTTGCAATCTGTAAAACGGTAGAACGCGCGTGATTTAGACATCGGACGGTAGATGGCTACCTAATGCAGATTTAACTTATAATTTAAAATTATTCAAATATTTATGTATTTTTCCAATTTTACTTTTTTTTTATTTAACTAGCCATAAACAAGATGTTTTTAATTTAACAAATCATAATTGTTATTAATCATATTAATATCAAAATAGTTTTATTCAATAAATAGAAATAGAAGAAAGATAATTAAGTAATTTTAACAGAACAAATATTATCTGCATTTATAGTAAAACAATTATTGTAAACTAAATTTTTTCTTTCGCAATAATTTTACCTATTTTTGTTTTACTGAGAATTCGCTACATTCTTGTGAATGTGTTTATCTTTACCCTCCTAGACTGCTATAAAAAACTGTTTCCCTCTCGCTCTCATGATGGGCAAAAAATTGTTATCGTGTTGATAAAAAGCATACTTAAATGTGGAAAGATGTGAAAGAATAAAACCATTTCAGTCAGTGTTTGTCGGTCGGTTTCGGTCAAATAAAACTCGTGCGTGAATATGTATTTGGTGAATGTGTTAAATAATGAAATACTTTTGTGCATAGATAAATCAGTGTTTGTTACAATAACAGGACAATTCATGTAATTAAGGATTTTAATTATAATTAAATTTATAGCAGGTAAGCGTTATTATTATATAGCTGTACGCCCAGATAGTATATAATAGGTATGTAAGTAGTTTTATGATACAATGAAGCACAATTTGTTATGAAAAAATTTACTAAGTAGAAAAAAAAAACAATATACTGTAATAGAAAAAAGTATGTGATAGAAAATCATACTCATCGTCGTAAACATTTCAGACGTTCGTTCCGCAGATAGGACTTCGATAATTTTAACTTAATTAAAAAAAATTATTTATGCAAGTAGGTACCTTAAGACCAGATTTCTACGATTTTTCCAAATGTTTAAAGTTTTTAATTTTTTTTTTAAACTATGTTGTTTACTTTTAACTGTACGGAAGGAAATCAAAAATAATTTTTCTAAAAATCTTATACCTATTTTTGAGCGATATGTGAGTGCGTGTATCAAATTAGATGGGTTTATTAGTGAAAGGATGGGTTAATTGTGACAAACGGACCGAAGCAATAAGTATCTACGTTTTCTTGATAGAAATTCATGATCATTTAATAAATAAACACAAATTAATTTCCACAAATATATTAATAAAAACTTTACCTCCTTGAGGCTTCGTCAGAAGAAATTAACTTGTGTTTATTTATTAAAATGAACTAAACATAATTAAGTGTTGCAGTACTGATAATACAGTTAATAATAGTATAGAAGTAATTGTATGTATTTGAAGTTGTAGAATCTCTTGCCACTTGAAGAAACATTTTTCTTTGATTGAAGAAAATACTTGGCAAGTTTTACGATGTTTAGTTTATCTCTGATAATTATTTCGGTTATAAAACTATTTTCAAAAAGTAATAAACGGATGTAGAAATGATACCGATTAATTGTCAGAGACAAAATAAATATTGTGAAACTAGCAAAATATTTTCTTCTTTTTAATTAGTAATAGTAAGGTACTGACGTTTTCACCTGCGAGTGCTTTTAATACATGAATTATATAGATTTGAAAATTTTATTTAATGTAAAGCTGTAATTATTGCTAACTGTTATCATGAATAATTAATCATTCTTTCCGAAGAAGTTGAATTAGGTATTAATATTTCTACAATACCTACCTTAAAGCAAAATACTTAAATACTTATTGAATAGATGCACATCAGATAAAATCGGGATCGACAAGAAGCAGCGAAAAGGAAATTCTGCTTACAGGAAGTATCGAATGATGTCCATGCTACATTGCTTTTATTAAGTAACCTAAGGCGCTAAATAGTTTACTTGCTTTAAAAGTGTGTTGTTTGGTATTATTTTCAATTTATATGCCTGTGAGGCGTAAAACGTACATTTATTAAATATATATTCATCCTATAAATATGAAACACTGATACTTTTTGGTTAATATATCAAATATTAATGTGAAAATTCATTTTCCAGTTATACCAACTATAAATTTTTCTTCATTAACTTGAGGTAATTTATAGTTCTTATAACTTGAAAATGAATTTTTACACTAATATTTGATATATTCATCCTGTTGTTTAGTTATGAAGAAAACTAAAACGGTGGTGGTCATGGTTATTATCTTACAATAGGGTATTTTTAGTATTAGTTTTAGACAGGAAGTCTTAATATGAGACTTAGATTGTATAACTTTCGGGACGGTATCGACAAAAAAAATGTTTTATTATAAAAATATTCAAAAATCGACGGTAGTAATGCCTCTGAAAGTATTTAATGATAATTCTATATGTTAGTTACATACCTACTTAAAATTAACGAAAATTTAGTTGTGGTAATTAGAAGTGAGTTTTTTTATTTCATTTACTTGCCATGGTCAAACTAATAAATCGATAAATATTTATACACTCACTTCCTGCGGAATTTATTATTTTATTGCAGCTACAGATTCCCTGGATTTCTCCGATGTATTTCATTTTCATGCTTGCACTTTATTTTTTTGACTACTAGAATTAGATAATACCCATGATTTTGTCCCAAAATTGTATACTGGTCTATACATATACTGATTTAAAGACATCGGTCTGCATTTTCTTGGCATTATGCAACTGTTATGTTTTTCCCAAATTTCTATTTCGCTAAATGAATAAACCTCTTAATTACCATAAAACTTGTCCACTGAGGACACGTATTCCGCCCCTCTTCCTAATAAGGGTTAAGTAATTAGCTTTCGATAAATAATGAAATTAACACTTGAATAATTTACGATATAATTTTGGTGGATTCGCAAGGCACAGCTCATTATTCTAGTCTGATTTAATGTGCATAATGTCAACGAAAAATCTGCACATTTAAATAAATTTAAATAAATAAACAAATGTAAATGTTCCTATTATTTGTTTCACTAAATATTTCTCTTTTACACATTTAAACTACCACCTAATATAGCGGTTATCTTTTCGACACTTAATTCTGATATATGCAAACCCTTATATCTAGTATTAGATACTAACCGTTCGTAACCATCAAAAAAAAGTAATTACTTACAATAAATGCGTGAAGCAAAGTGAGTTTCGAGTGGGGTAGAACAGAAGTGGAAGCGCACACATTTTTATTGAAAACCATTCATGACCGTCATGCGTGAAATTGCTCTTGTACATCTTTCCCTAATTAGCAGGGAAATCTCAGCTTTTGTAGATCGGCTGTGACAACGAAAACGATCTCGCAATACCGTCATCATTTTAAGCTGAAGCACTTGCGTTTCAAACAGAATGTGGCACTTACAGAAAACATCCCCTTTCAAAGGAAATAATACGCTTTAACAACTAACTTGAAATCGTACTTATTGTTTACAAACCAAAAACAAAAATGGCTATGATTGTTTAAAATTCATTTATAATGAAAATTATTATTTCAAATCATAAACCTAAAGTGTACAATATTTTAATAATCCTTTTATTATCCTTTAAACAGTTTTTCATTCACATTAGTAACAACTTTCATAATACGTTCTGTTTGTTACCTTTCTTTTAAAGGAATATTTAGAAAACATCCCCTTAAAGTTCGAGTACATTGTTAATAACCATAAACAGCTCTGTTTTGTTAATAACAACTTTAAAAAGAAAAGTTATTTTAAAGTAACTAGTGAAAATTGCGATCACTGACTTACCATATACGTATTTCAAATTAATTTATAAAATATTCTTTTTGAAAAAAGTTCTAAAGAACCTAAAAAGTCCAGGATACGTTAGCCGAAAAAATAATGACCTAAATATGTTGAAGTTTATTATCTGCACCGTAACGGTCAGGATTTTAGTGTAATGTCCTTGAAAGGATAATCTTCATTAATCTTCATTAGGGACAGTTGGAAATATTTTGGGTACCCAGCAGCACCGATCAGTTTCTGTAGTAGACTTCGTTTCTTTGGAAATGACTTCACTTGATCCTTTTTTTCAAATTCGTCCACCGGGCGTCGGACACACCCCCAAGCCAAAAGCAACATAGTCATGTGCGGGGTCTTCACGCGTGTCGCAGTGCAGTTGCGCAAGAATGGCTACGGAGAGCCCGAGGTACCGTAACAACGTTAAAAGCTCTTCGTCTTTCGTTCGAAATCAGTTTTACAACCAGCCGCTGCTGACTGCTATGTTAAGAGCGTTTGGAGTAGCAACAATGCGTCCTGCTATCGTCATTAGTTTTAGCAATAGCAGCAGCGGCAGCAACAGCAATAGTAGTAGTAGTAATAGTAACAGTAATAGTAATACAAGCTGCTGTACCATTCGTAGTAGTAACAGTAGAAGTAGTAGTAGTAACGGTGGTGCTTTGTTTGAAGGACTACGACGCGAGTGTTTCAAACAAGTCATCAGTTCGGGACTTTACAACGAATCTTTATAAACAAAGCACAATGATTTATCATTTTATGAAAGTTTTACGTTTTTAAATTATCCTGAACAGCAGCAGTGATATCCTAACTTCATCAAACTGAACGATGTATCTACTTGATAAAAAAGTTTGTGAAAGATAATAAGTATACTGTATATGTCACTGGTTATAGCACGTGGATTTCTTTCATGAATAATGTACGTAGTAGTAGTGGTAGTAGTAGTAAGAAGTGTGTACGCAACTCGAGATATCGATGAGTAAGTGAGGTGTTCCGTTCGTTCGAGTCCTGCGTGAACTTTGCAGAGATGGACGACAGCTCGCCGGACTTGAGCTTAAAGCTCAGGAGAGGATCTAGCGATTCGCGCGACTCCTTTTACATGGATTTGGATAAAGGTATCGACTCCGATATTGAGGAAATAGCAACTTGTTCTACCGTTGATCACGGCGACACCACGGCTGATAATACTACGATCACTCCCACTGTTTTGGCAGTTATCAAAGAGGAAAGAGTCAGGTGAGAGGAAACTAACTGCCCCGTGAGATCGGAGGAAGGGACAGTATGGTCAATAATAATTTGACGAACTATTTTAAAAATGAAACTGTACAGTAGTAAAATTGTTGCCATTTTAACAGACAAGTACCTAAAATAATATTACATTTCGGGAGTCTTTAAGAATTCTTTGAAAACAAATAAAAAAAGTAAAGACTAATTAAGTAACAATAAACTAATGTAACAATCAAAAATGAAAACAACATAACAGTTAATTTTGAGAAAGTTTTAGGTGATAGAGGTAGGTTTTTAGGAAATTGCAAAGTTAAAGTTATTCCTTCCTCAAAGGAGAACATAATCATACGTTTACTCAACGTTCAGGTGAGTAATTCTACCCAAAAAATGCTAGAAAACATTCAAAAACAATTATTTTAAAGATCCATCCTAGAATTACTTTTTATTTACCGCAGCTTTTAAACTGAAAGCTTTGTAGGTCAATTTGTTGGATTTTTAGAAAACCCTTAGACCTTCTCACAATTGCATTCACTGGTATTCTTCGACATACCTACGGAATACCCTAATAGGTGAATTTATGTAAATTTGGGACGTACAAACTGGCTTGACCGCAACAAAGCCCAACCATTATTTAAGCTTAATTGCACGGACACTGTTCCTGTACCTATATCCACGTTGCTATAACAATTGTCTGTTTTATCAATTTAGGAACTGAAGCGACAGAATGCTAACGGCATATTCTGGAAACAATAGAATCCAAAAGGCGTCTGTTTGTTTGACTTCCTATACAATAGGCATTTAAATAACGAATTTTGCTCATTCAACACGCGACTGTTACCCACCCAGAATTGATAAATGATTAGACAAAAATTCTTTACCTAACTAATAACTGTTTAGATACCTAATAGAATTTGAGCTTTTTCAGTATTAACTAGTACCTACCTTAAATAAGTCAAATATGTTGGTTATTTTGGCATTTTTGTTCGGTAGTTTATCAACTGCCCAAGGCGTGCTGATGAGATCGAAAACACTCGTATATTTGTTTAATACAATCGAGCATCAGAAGGAGCTTTTTTTAAAGTACCTACAGTAAATAAATTTACATCAATAGAAAAACAATTATCTTATCTCCACAAAATTATTGTCACCTACACTAGATAAATATCTGGTCTATACTAAGAATTTCTAGATACGATAAACAAATAGATGTTGTAAGCATTATTATGAATATTCTGTCACGAAAATTGCCTTTTCACTCGAATGGAAATCCCGTTTATCAAATACAATATACTAATTAAATATTTTCAAAATAAATTTTGTTTCAAATTTATTTAAGGAATTATTTCCTTATAAATGAAACAGATATGGGGTTACTACTATATACGAGTTATTTGAGTATTTAGTAGGTAGGTATTAGTAACTATCTCGTATTCTGGTCTCTTCTCCACTCCTGAAAACCTGCTTAAATTTTTGCGAAAGTAGACGTCTCATAAATAAAATACCAGTCATGACGGTTTTGTTTCTAACGTATCATTCCTATCTCCATCTGCTGGATAACTGGTACTCATTGCTCATACAAAAATTTGAAGAGCCTCAGGAGGTCAAAGAACCCCAGAATCTCACGGCATCATCGCAAATGTTACCGCAGGCTTATTTTGTTTACAATTGAAATAAGTGGTTTTTTACATATGCGACATTAGTCTGTTATTTATTTAAGTATACACTTATTTTTTACCTAAAATTAAAAAAGGTTAGGACAAAAAAGAAATTATTACTTATAAATAATAAGTATCTTTAAAACTACGATTTTATTTTTTACAATCCAAAGCTTTAAAATGAATCTCATAATGTAGAAGGACATTTATTTTTATATAGTTTAAGTATTTAGAGATTTAGAGTAATGTAAGTGCTTGGTTGAAACGAAAATATGGACAAAAACTGTAGCTTATAAGATTGGTTACTACAATTTTACCATTAAGTCCGAAGACTGATTGGACACGCATCTCCACGCTTCTTTCCTCAGTCCTTTTTTACTGCTATTTCTGATGTTTAGAATATACCTGTTTATAGCCGTTCATGTCTCCGAAAACGTTGTACTATCCTATACCATCTCCTTGTTTAACATAATCCTTTGTTTCTATTATCTCTACATATAATTTTTGTTTTTCGCACCTAATTTGCACTGCAAGCATCATCATAAGATCATCAGTCCTAAATCTGGTTGGACATTACCTCCACTCTTACCTATCCTGAGTTAATCTTCGTATTTCCCTATATTCCTCTTAACTTCTGTTTCTGTCTCTAATATGTCTCTGACTAGACTTTCATGCCTGAGAAGGTGTCCTACCAACCTATCATACCTGCTTTTTATTGACTTCCAGAGAATCCTCTGTTCTCTTATTCTTTCTAATATCTCTTTATTTCTAACCTTCTCTATCATTTGCCTCTAACATCTTTCGTCCCCTACCTTTATATTCGCTCTTTTTTTCCCTTGCGTACCACTATAGACTTTATAGACTTTTAATATTTTTTTAGTTTAATTTCCAAATGAATCGTTCGTGAGGACAGAAGTGGATTCTATAAGAAACTTTCTTACCACACAAAAAAGATTGAATATGAAGAGAAGCCAAAATAGAACCATTTTTCCTCTAAACCATCTCAAGAAGAAAAAGAAACGGAAACTGAATTTTAAAGGCGTAACTAACCTACTATCCTCATTACATATTAAGGAGAACAATCGTTATTTATTTTTTACGCTTTGATTTGTAAATTGTTGTAGTCTTTTCCATTTTCTAATGAAATGTCTCTGCCTCAATTCCACTCCTTTTGTTCACCTAATTGGTTCTATTCTCCGCAAACAATAGCTTTGGTTATCGATACGGGACTTATTGATTAGCAGTCGCGTATTTGTTTCACGAGCTCCAATATAGTGTAAATGGGAGAATCGCAAATGAAAGACGACTCGACTTATCTAGTCCCTTCCAGTTCTAATAATAATCCGCACAAAACCACTGCCTGTTGTGACATAAAACATACAGTTCCTTGTGTGAAGAGCGTTAAAAGATTTATTTGACGTGTAACATGATACTTTTTAACGCCATGCGGAAGGCAAATCCCTTGACTCGGCAAAGATAATAATAATACTAGTACTGATGATACAATAACATACAGAAATAGACAATAAGGACTGTAGTGTGATAAATGAATAAAAAATGTTTTATGGTGTTTCAGAAAAGTTTAAAAAACAAACTTTTTCTGTGTACTTTTCACATAGGTCTAAGTCAGTCGAGAATATCCTGCATGCAGAGTTTATGTGATTAAAACTATTCCGAAACATTATAAAGCATTTTTTTTACGTTTTACACCTACATCTATTAAACACGATGCAAGTTAGTTTTTTGGTATTTTTTATTTTCATATGTTTGTAATTAAAAATATAATAAAATAAAACCGCATAGAAAAGAAATCTAAAGTAGGTACAAGAACGTTTCGTCGTAACAGTTTAGTAAAGTAGATTTAGATGTCAACTTACATTAGTTTATTTCTGTAAGAAAATATTGGCAGAAACCCAAAAACTTACTATGCTTTTACGCGGAAGTTACGTTGGAGACAGTGACCTCCACTCAATGCCTTGGATATTTATAATATCTGTAGTTGTTAATGATTAATTTCATTTGCACAATTTATTTCAACTTCAGTAGCTACTCACTAGCGCATCATCGTAGTCTCGCATAAAAATAAAAACACTTGGTTTGCTTCCCAAATTTACGTAAGCTCGTTGTTTTTGTTATTGTCAGTTGCCCTTTATTTCCAAGGAAAAAAATCTAATAACCCTACCTTTGTTGGTCTGGTATGATTCAAAAAGTCAATAGTTAATAGTATAATTCATGTTTAATCATGGCGTCTCCACCACTATGTTGTTACATTGTGACCAGCGCGCATAAACAAAATAAATGAAGGCGTTGGTTGGCTAAGTAACGGTTCAACTCACACACCATTGACTAGCGAATACTTAAAGAATCTTGATTAATGCAAGTTCATGAAGTTACAGAAAATAACGGGCACTTCCTAATCTCTTCATCGCTTTCTTGTAATTACCGCCATTTATCTTGGACGCTGCTCCGCGAGTACCTTTAAAAAAATGAAGGAAACAATGCCGTAATTATTAGATTATCGTAAGCTTTATTTCAGTTTGAAATTAAGTATATGACATGTCACAAATTGCTTTAATTCGTGAAGTTTTTGGGCATAAAATTTTCCATTTTTTATACTAAAGGTTACAGCTAAAAGAATGCCAGAATGCCAACCTCCAGTTTAATTATGCAGTTATAAAAATTTATTTCTAATTAGATAGTTCTTAATACTTCCCATCTTATATCCATCCATATATGTACTTGTTAATTTACATATGCATGTGGTTACATTACATCTTCACTATTCCATAAATGTTTAACACAGCAATTCGTACATTTTATGACCAATAAATAATTCGACCGGTTTGTAATTTCGCTTCGTATTAGGGATTCGTTTCAATACTGCAGTTTTAGATAAATATTATCCAAAAAGGCTTAACGCGTAGTAAATACATTTGATTAAAGTTAGCGGAATATGTATGGGAGCAGATTAATTAATATAAGCTTTAATAAAATTGGACTGGAGTGGATAACGAGTGAAATTGTTATATATTATTTATCGATTGTAAATCCTTGCGGGATCAGAAGCAATATTATATTACAATTTGTACTTTTGTGCGTGGTGTTCCGTAAAGAGAAGACCTTTGAATTGAGTATGAAGGGCCTAAAGGTCTTCTAGAGCATCTGAAAAGAAAAAGCTTCAGTTTTCGAGTAATTTGGACATTTTCCAATTGGCATCGTTCAACAGTTTCTTGAGTGTCAAGATCAGAAATTAAGGAAGTTTTGAATGTTCTTTTTTGCATAATATTTATCAACAAGTATTTACTCTCTGTTTTGAAATCTTGTATAAAAAGGTAAATGCTTACGACTATCTTA